GTGTGCCTTGGCATGTCTGGCATGGCGCTATAGGACCTACTATGTGTCCTGCTTGGTTTGAATCACCTTTTGTTCTGTTGTTTTTTATGCCCCTGTCATTTCCTGTTGGTGTGGGAATGTCTATCCTGTGAAGTGGCGTGTAGGCAGTGGTATTTTAGAATTAAGTAATTTAATTTTTTACTTTTCAGTGGTGCATGGATAAGCACTTGCCTTGAGTCTTAGCAGAGACTTTGACTTGCTCTTCTGACAATGATGGAACTGTTGAGACTTTAAGGAAGGAATTAGTACATTTCTGGTTGAATATAGCATAGTTATATCATGTTAGGGAGAAGTATGACTGCGTGTTTACTTGGTTATTAAGGTGGTTCAAGGAGGCATGTTAGGGTGTCAAGCTGATGGGGCATAAAATGTGAGAGTGAAACTGGTGTGTCAACTTAATTGGCTTGTGAACGTCTTGGGGATTAGGAAAGCACACTTCTGGGTGTGTTTGAATGGGACATGGAAGCATGACGCTGGGCACTGTGTCTGACCCACTTCCATTCTGGGGCTGTTTCCCTGCTCTCTAGCCACCACAAAGTAAGCAGCTTTGCTCCCCCACATCCTTTCTGCCACATTCCCACCTTACAGCCGGCTAGAAACGGCTGAATCCTCAGAAACCATGAGCCAGAATAAACCTCTGCTCCTTTAGATTGTGGGTGTCACATATTTTGCATTAGCAGTGGGAAAGCTCGCCAACACGGCTCCCGTGTCTTTTTACTACATCCCCATCAATTTCTGATTTACTTGATTCCTGGTACTATCATGTTCCAGGCCTAATCTTGTACTTTCTCTGCTACAACCACAAAATAAACCATTTCTCCGAGGAGACCTGGTCAGAGAAAAAGTGATGTAGATAGAATTGAAACTCTTTGAAATTGTTCCAAGAAGCTGAAAATGTTCAAGTATTGTGGATGTATGTGCTATTCCATGTACCAGCAATGTAGCTGGCAAAGTTTTTAAAAACTTTAAATGTAGTTGGTACATTTTTTTTAAAAAAAAATGTTAAATTATAGCCAGGGGTGGTGGTGCACACCTGTTATCTCAGCACTTGAGAGGCTGAGGAAGGAGGATAGCTGTGAGCTTAAGGCCAGCCTGGGCTACCTGGTGAACTCAAGGCCAGCCTGAACTACATAGTGAGATCCTATCTAAAAAAAAAACCAAAACATCATATTATAAAGCTGAGTCTAATGACATAATAGAAAAAAGCTTCACATTTTGCATACCAGAAAAAATAACCATCATATTTACCACCTTATGATAGGTCCTTTTAAAAGATTTTCAAAAATTTTAAATTTTGGTTATTCTACTAATAATTTACAGAAATAAAAATAAGCAGGTGCTAAAAACAACAAAATAATAATTTAAATAATTTTTTCCATGTTTTCCTGGTGTGGGGGTATTGTAAGCTGAGGTGGCCAATGCCTTTGAGTGCAGCTGACTGCATTCAGCTGTCGTGTGTGAGCCTGGAACATTTCCTTTGTCATAAACACAGGTTCCAGGTGAAAACACGTCTCCGCTAGGTTACACCTCATCAGGACTTCTGGTTTTTCTTGCATGTACATTATCACAATGCAATCTTACTGAAAAATTTGAAAGCTCATAATTTTGTAGAAGATGGCAACTCTTTATTTCATAAGTCTAAAAATATTTTCATTTTCTTTGAATTTCACTTCAATTTTATAACTGTTAGATTGATTAACCTAATAAACATTCTTTTATTTTTATACCCCTGTCCCTCAAATCATATCTGTATATATTATATATAATATATATATATATATGAGTCACATCAAGTAAATTTTTACAGAAAAGTATCAAAGATAAATGAAATGTCACATGTCCTACTAAAACAGGATGGGCCAGGGCCTTGTTGAAAAGTATTAAATGATGAAATGCTTCCTGCTGAATGACTAATGGGTTAGATGATCTGCATCCTTCGGTCTTTATAAAGATACTGTTGGCTCTTTGGTTAGAGTCTGAGGACGTGGATTTCTCCTAAGGACTGGCAGCCCAGTGTTTTGCTTGTGTGGTCAGCTTGACCCCCTAGTACTGGCTTTAGTGCTTCTGTCTGCCTTCTCACCATTTAATAACTGCAGTGCCTTTCTGTGTTCATTTCCCCCTCTATTGCATTACAGGCAGAAAATTAAAAATTCTGAATTCTTATCTGTGTTCAATGAAAGCAAAAAATAAGGCAATAAAGATGACATCTATGAACTCATTTTATACCTTCTTGAAAGATGATGTACTTAAGATATATCATTAGAAAAGTAAAGAAAGATACAATAGCAGTAACTTATTTATTCAATTCTGTAGTTTTCTGTTTGCTTGTTATTTTATTTTTAAGTGCTAAGGGTTGCACCCAGGCCTTTTGCATTGAGTTACTTCTTCAGCACTTTTTTATTTTTTAGTTTGAGACAGTATTTCACTAAGTCACTAATTTTCCTGGGCTGGGCTTGAGCTTGGAATCTTCCTGCGTCAGCTTCCCAGATTGCTGGAATTACAACTGTGTGCCACCACACCCAGCTTTATTATTTTAATTTTTAAAGATATAGTTGGAAATAGTTGATGAATGGTGATTAAATAATTCCTAGGATGATGAACTAGCAAAATACTTCAAGATGTGGGAAATGTAAGATCATTTACTTCCATAATGCATGTTCGATTTTTAAAAAACAACAGACTTAAATATTAACAATATGAAAATGAGTTTTATCTAATTAAACATAAATAATTTTTCTCTTAGCTCTTTGAAAGACCTCTAAGAAATAATAAGAGTCATGAACTCACTATCTTTATAAATAGAACTGCTCTACAAAGAAAGTTAAACACTAAAGTTGAGTTCAGTAGACCTTGGTGTTATTGCAAAGGTTAAGAAGTCTGGTTCAGTCATTTAATGAATAAAAGGTGCAAAGAACACTGAAAAGACCTCTTCTTCCTTACACTTGATAATACCCCAGACCATATCCCCCCAAACATAAGCACACCTCTTCAATTTCTTCTTTTGTTACTGGAGATCATACTGTGTTTTGGGGGAATGTGTAGACAGTTGCCTCTTCTCTGTCTAGAAATACCTCGGTATTTATCAGGTAAAATAATATAGTAAACATATTGTACTATAAACTGTACAGTGTTACACAACTACAAGGCCCTTGTGTGTGTGCTCAGTATATTTATATTAAGTACTGTACAAATATAAGGTCTTTTCTTTCTTTTTGTTTTAAAAAGCCTTTAGGGACCAGACGTGCTGGCACATGCCTGTAATCCCAGCACTCAGGAGACTGAAGCAGGAGGATCGCTGTGAGTTTTAGGCCAACCTGGGCTACATAGTGAGACCCTGTCTCAAAAAGCCTTTAGGAAGAGAAGATTCTGTTTTAATTAGTACCTCCTTCCACACAGGCTCATTACTTTAACAAATCAAAGGGGGAAATGTGAACAGAAAATTTGGGGACACTTTCTAGAATTTGGTATTAGGTTTGTAATTACTTAACTTCATTTATTTATTTTTTTATTTTTTAGTTTTTGGTTTTTCTCTGGTACCGGGAACCAAACTCACGACCTTGCGCTTGCCAGGCAGGCGCTTTTGCTGCTGAGCTAAATCCCCAGCCCCCTTAACTTCATTTATGATTATTAAAAACTAGCAAGTAGTAAGAAATAAATTTATCATTGTATTTGTCCTAAATTTTCTGGATAACTGGTTCACAAATTCAGAAATTTCACTGTGGTGCCATATCTTTTACAGAGTAAACCATCTTCGTGTACTTGTTTGAGTTTCATTGTCCAACAGTTCTTACTGTAGTTTGGTTTTCTCTTTCAGTGTCAACAAAAATGTAAAAATTTCATTGCTTAACTTTCCCACCTCCTTTAATTTGTTTGTTAAAATCTTACGACAATGATCTGAATAATCTTGAATTATTAATCTCCTCACCCTTTTAATACAATCTCCACCTGTAAGAACTTTTGCTTAAGGAATTTTAGGGAGACGAACTGCAAAGTTACTTCCCCTTTCCCTTTCCTAACCTGTGTAGCCCACTCAGCAAAGCCAGAGAAACCTTAGGTTTACGTGTGAAACTGAATGCGCTAGTTAGTTTGGTCCGAGCACCTGCTCAGCTTGGGATCTGATGTGAATTAAGCAGCAAGTGTTTATCCCAGCACCAGTCAGTCCAGGCGGATGACTGCAGTAGGAGCCACCACTGAATCCCTGTAGATCTTGCCGGAGCTTGGACATCGATCACTATCTTCCTAACCTCACGATGTGGTCTGCATGTGCCTGAGACTCTGTCCTGGCAGGCTGACTTGTCACCCATTGCTTGAGATGTTCACTGTATTCAGTAAGAACTGGAGTCCATTTTTGGATGACTCTCAAGGAAACATCATAGAGGAAATTCCCGAATTGGGAGTGAGGCTCGCCTACACGCGCTCTGTTCAGGGTGCCTTGCAGCACTGCGCATTCTACACTTCATTGCAAGACCTTCCTCGTTTAATGCCCTACCTGGTTAGTGCTGTTTGGACTTACGACTGAGGTACACTGTCCCACTTAAAACCCCCGTTTGGACTTTCCACACAGGAAAGTGGGTGACAGTGTGGCCTTGTGGTGGCTTCTATAGTACAGCGCTGTAATTTTTGCTGTTTGTATGGTACAGTAACAGTTTTATGTTCTGTTGTACATCGCAGTGCTGCATGGGAGAGGTATGCCCATAAAAGCAAAGTCATCAGGTTGGAGTTTCCTTTGACCATTTCTTTGTCCGAATATTGAATTGTGCGTACTGTCTACAGTTCCTCATTTAGCAACTAATGTAATGAACAACCTGGTGGGAGGAACAGAACTTGGTGGGTAAACGAAGAGTGTTTAAAAGATGCGTGCACAGGGCTGGTATCGTCACTGTGGCATTCTGCGCTGCTCAGTCACTCACTGGCCCCCAGTACCCGTGTCACAGACCCAAGTCTGCTGTCTTCTCTTTTAGATCTTCATTAACAACGAGTGGCAGAGCTCAGAGAGCGGGCGAGTGTTCCCTGTCTATAATCCAGCTACAGGAGAGCAAGTGTGTGAAGTTGAAGAAGCAGACAAGGTATGGCGTTCTGAGAAGGACTGCAGCGGTGGCCGCAGAGCAGCGCGCATGCTCTCAAGATGCCACTGCTGAGTTTAGGCATCACTTGTCTTGTTAAATTTTTACATTCATTAGTGCATGTTTGCAGTAACAATGATCACAGTCCTCCCGGGCAGTTGGAACACGTATGTAACACATCTTTGTTCTTTTCTCCTCTCTTTCGCTTCTCTTCTCTTCCTCCCCCGCTTCATCGCTTGGGAAAGATCTATCTCCCTACTTCTCATTATCTACTTTTTTATTTTGCTCTTTATTTATATTCTGAATTTCTCTTGTAAGAGAAACCATGTGATGTTGAAGTTTGTGCTTCTGATTTATTTCACAGAACGTTTTGGTCCTAAGATGCATCTGTTTTCTCACATGACTCAAGTTTATCCTTCTTGATGGGAGAGTAGTGGTCCACCGTGTGTGTGTGTGTGTGTGTGTGTGTGTGTGTGTGTGTGTGTGCGTGTGTGTGTCTGGCCATTAGAGAAATGCAAATTAAAACAACACTGAGATTCCACCTTAGTTCAAAAAGAGTAGCTATCATCAAGAAGTAGAATAATAACAAACTCTGGTGAGGCTTCAGGGAAAAAGAAGCCCTTCTACATTGTTGGTGAGACTGTAAACTAGTGCAACCACTATGGAAATCAGAGATTTTCAAAAAACTTAAGCTGTAAATTCCATGCAGCCCAGCCATTCTCCTAGGTACCTTTCTAAAAGAATTAAAGACATCACATTACAGTGACACACGCATACGTGCAGCACAGTTTAGTAGCTGAGTCTTTAAAGTAGCCTCTGTGTCCATCGAGAGACAAATGCATAAAGAACATGTGGCATTCACACATAGGCCCTGCTTTTTGCTGGAGCCTGAGCCCTTCCTGCACTTGGAGCGTGGCCCTCATCAGCTGTGTCTCTCCCCCTCTCCAGGCAGACATAGACAGAGCTGTGCGGGCAGCCCGCCTGGCCTTCTCTCTTGGCTCAGTGTGGAGAAGGATGGATGCGTCAGAACGAGGCCGTCTGCTGGACAAGCTAGCGGACTTGGTGGAGCGAGACCGAGCGATTCTTGCGGTAAGTAGCCTAAGAAAACAGTGCACCTTTATCCCACGGTCGCCTTCCTGCTGGAATTCGGATTCCTCGTCTGTCTGAAAGCATGCTGTGGAGCAGAACTGCGGGGAAGGACAGTGCATGCATAATTCTCATGAAAAGGGAGTGATATTAAGGTTTGGGATCAGGTCAGGTAGGGAAGTTGGGGATCAGCTGAGTGTCCTTTTCACTGCATTTTGAAGGAAACACTGCAGCATTCCGTGACTGGTAAGGCTCGCCTTTCCTCACACCTTCCCCTCGCTTGGCAAAGCAGAACCTCTCAAGCAGGAGGAGATCCCCTAAGCTGGTTGCAGAAGAGCAGTGCCAAGTGCTCCGCCTGGGATCAAGTAGGACAAGCTTTGACTTGCACGGGCGCAGCTCCTCTGGACTGGAGAATCCTTCCGAGGCAGACAGCGGGATGTGGGCCCCTCACACATCCTGCTCTGCTTGTCCTCTTTTTCTAGAATCTACAGAAAGGAGAGGTGACACAAGACAGTAATACTTTTCACTACAGCATTTTTTGGACACAAGGAGCTGCTCCTTTCCTAATGGTTTTTGTTGTTATTGTCTCTGTTTTTAATTTTTTTTTTTTTAAAATTTCTCGGAGAATATGAACGTTTTGGAAACTGGAGCCATTTGGGAATGTAGGGATGGCACAGCCGCCATGACCACACCGATCAGGTGATGCTGAGGGATTCCTTGTTCAGGGCATTGAAGCCATTCCTTCTGCTTGGGAAAACAGGTCACTGCGGGGCTCGCTTTGGAGGAGGGGAGCATTTGTGCCCCCCTCAGTGTCCTTCCAGTCACTCCCTGATGCCATTTTGAATCTGTCCCCAAATGATTCCTTTACTGAGATGGGTTGGAACTGAAGCGTATGGAGCAGGTTGCTGGCTGTAAGAAGCCCAGCAGCACATTCATGCAGGTTAGGGGAAAGGTGCTGCATGGTGAAGCTGCTCCTTCCCGGAGAGTCCCAGACACCGAGCATGTTAAAGGCCCTGAAAGGCCTGACCGTGCCTCCCAAACTTACACGACCTCAACATTTCTCCGGCAAGCCTGCTAGTAGAGCTGAGTTTCTCAAGATACCTCGCAGAATCCTAGTGCATATGTTTGTCTCTTCACTGGTGTGACGTTTTCCTTAAGCATCAAAAGTATGGTTTATTGTTTCCTTGATGATCCTAGCACAGTCCCTGGCACATAAATGGCCAATGAATGTCTGCTTGTTATACACATACATATAATATTCACAGTGTTGGATGAATGATATCTACTAGAAGATGATGTGGTTTACTTCTGCAGTTCTATTTTCATGTTGTGAAACTCAGATGGCCCCTTTTCCTGCCATGCATCTTGCTGAGGTCACGTCTTTTTTCTCACCACATGCAAACGTGATTCTGGCTTTGAAGCCCTTCCAAGTGCAGGAGAAGTAATCTTAGTAAGAAGTGCCCTCTAGAAAAAAGGGAGCTCAACACGGAGGACAAGAGAAGCTGCTACTATGTCCAAAGGTAGCATATGTGAGAGTAGATGCAGGGCTGGTCGTTCTCAAAGGATTCCCTGCTGTCAGCTGCTCATGGGGACCACTTAGGTGGCCTAGACTCGTTATTGACTCCTTTGTTCTATGATTTGTAGACTCTGACTCTACGGCAGCTGCCTGGAGAATGTAATGCCACCTAATGATCATAAAATGTTCTAAGACGTACTGGTAAATAATTTGATTCCCTAAAAGTGAGCCAGAATAAGGTGATACATAGGAAGTCAGTATACAGAACTGTTACCTTATTGAGTGGAGGACGTTTCAGTTTTAGCTTTGTTAGCCATCAAATAATTTTTACACCTGTATGTGATATAAGATGTCCTTATAAAAGCAAGAAATGGCAAACATACACTCTTGTTTATTTCATTTGTTAAAACTGGAATACCTTTAATATATCTCAGGTGAAAATGCTCTTATTTTATTGTACTAATTTGTCACAGTTTTGGTTATAGATTTAATCAGTTTAAGAGCATGCTATTAAAATAATGTTTATAATGTAAAGCTGTTTAATATTATTGTTTTTATTAAATGGGCCAGATACTTCGTTCTCAGTAGATAATGGTTGTTAACATAAATGTTTACAAAAGCCAGTCTTTAACTTGTTAAAGGCTTCCCTGGAGGAGATCTTGTTTGGTGTAATAAATAAACTCGATGTGCACTGTGAATGTTCCATTTCTCAGCAGGGTCTTGGCGGCTGTGGAGACGGTTTATTTCTCATCAACTGCATGAAGAGCTCATGGCCCCTTTTTGTCTTTCTGGACTTAAGTGACTAGTGAAGACTCAAAAAAATTTCCATGCAGCTATGACCATTAATAAAACAGAAGCCAGGCTGACACGCAGAACATTTCTTTATCGTCAGTTGTGTTTCTGTATTTGGATAGTGATCCCTGGAAGCACACAGGCACAAGAACACACACACACGTGCACGATGCACACATGGTCATATTCATTGTTGGTTTTACTAGAAACGAAACCAAACTCACCATCCTAGAGAGCCTTTTATTTGGGAAATCAGAATGGAACAGGTATGCGTCACAGTCAGATTCATGTACATTCTCTCTCTTGCATTTTCTTTTGCTCCAGAAAGTAGTGTATTGCTGGAAAGTTCCTGGTACTTAATTCCTCTCTCTATCTTTCCCTACAGACCATGGAGTCCCTAAATGGCGGCAAACCATTCCTCCAAGCTTTTTACGTGGATTTGCAGGGCGTCATCAAAACCCTTCGGTATTACGCAGGCTGGGCTGATAAAATTCATGGGATGACCATTCCTGTAGGTATGTGAAAGCTGAGGATTTGAAAAGGGACATGTGAGATTTCAAATAGAAACACACTTTTACCACCAGGCCCAAGCAACGGCCACAAACGATAGGGACCCAAGACACTTCCAGCAGCTTAAACCAAGCAAAGAGCCAAACAAGTGATGTCACCTGACAGTGTCACTCCTGCTCTAGGTAGATAGTCTTCACACAGGAGCATGGATGTGCCACTTAAATCGACGTGTCAGTCAGCGAAGGAACAGGTGTATATGTTTGTTAGCTACTGGTGCTGGGTTAGGCGCCAGGGGTACAGAGGAACAGGGGGCAGGGGTGAGTCCCAGAAAACCCCAAGAAGATTAAGACTTAGCGCTTGCCCTCTGAAACACAAGATCCCCTCTTTAAAAGGGAATAATCTAAAATGTTAAAAGTCGTGTCTCCAGGCGGTGGGACTATGGGTAATTTTTCATTCCTTCTTCATATTTTTCCCTATTTTCTGTGTTTGCTCTAATGACCACATATTACTTTTGTAATCTATAAAAACAATAATTCTGACTTTTTTCTTTTTATATCATTAAGATCCAGATCAAAACCAGCACCACAAAGCCATGACAAGGCTCTGCAGGGGAGTTAAACAGAGGTGCTACCGTTAGGTCAGCGCTAAGCCCTTAGGGAGCCGGAAAGCACCCAGGACTAGGGTGGTGGGCGGAGAGGTCTGGGCTGGGCTTGAACCCTGGTGATGACACCAGTCGAGTGCTTCCACAGCAACCCGAGGAGCCATACTCTGTAGCTAACACCCCCAGCTGACCCAGGAGGAAGCTGAAGCCTGGGCAAGTTGAATAGTGTTCCTAATTCACATGCTAATAAGTTTTAGAGCTCAAGTTTTGGCCCGAGAGCCTTGGCTCTTAATCACTTCACCGGAGGATTCATTTTAGCTGCAGGGTGGAAGGAGTAGCTGTATGAGACCGACGGAGGTAGCAGGTCTCACCGTGCTTAATGTGTCGAGCCGCACCAAAGCAGTGGGATCACAGGAGATGGCCGGGCTGGTGGGCAGGGTCCTCGTTATTCACGCATTTTCCTCCGGTTTGCTCAGTCACTTCATCTTTGCAAGTTTCTAGGTCCATATTTAACAGCAGCTTGATTTGTCTTTGTATCCTGGACCTCGTCCCACAGTGAAATGGACATTATAGGAAGGCTGTTAGCATTTAACCATAGGGTCTGCATTGTGTCTCATGCATTTCTCTGCAAAAAAATTTTTTCTTTGTATTTGGAATGGTGACATAAACTCATGATGTATTTGCATAGCACCTCAGAGTATGAAGTGATCTTTCATATATAAGATCTAGTGATTTTGTATGTGATCCTGTGACATACGCTGAACTTAAAAAGACAGGCCCTATTTCACAGGTAAGGAAATAAGGCAGAACTTAAAAAGACAGGCCCTATTTCACAGGTAAGGAAATAAGGCAGAACTTAAAAACACAGGCCCTATTTCACAGGTAAGGAAATAATGCAACCATACGCTGAACTTAAAAAGACAGGCCCTATTTCACAGGTAAGGAAATAAGGCAGGAAGTATTTAGTGTCTGAACTTAAAAAGACAGGCCCTATTTCACAGGTAAGGAAATAAGGCAGGAAGTATTTAGTGTATTAAACAAGACCATGTGGCCAATCAGTAGCAGGTTTTAGATTCAAACCCAAGTTATTTTCTCCCTAGAAAATCTGCTATAAACTTCAGTGTGCCCTTCAACCTTCCACAGGGTTTTTGGTTAACACACAGTTGGTTCTGATTATTCAGTTATGTTCCATAAAGTTGTCACGGACACTGAATTTGCAAATTCTGAACTGCTGCTCCTACAGTAAATGCGTGACTAGGTGCCCGTGAGCATCTACGCAGAGCATTTTCGTCAACCATTCAGAATGTGAGCTTGTTTTATATGAGTTCCTGTTGAAAGCCCCTTCCTTTAACATATATTTTTGGCATACGCACATTGAATTCATGGCAAGCCAGCCAGCAGCTTGTACCCAAATGGACTTGGCCTAACACTAGGGTCACATTCTGGGGACACACACCAGCAGTACTTCTGCATGGTGCTCAGGAGCCCTTAGAGCAAGATCATAAACAGAACCACAAAAATGGGAGAACATGGTATTAAAGAAATCACAAAAATATAAGAGTTAAGGCAAGAATTCTTAGTGTCACCTTGTTCAGCTTCCACTGAGATCAAATGTCCGGGCCCAGGCAGATTTTTTTGCTGGAAATGATTGTGAAAATGTTGCAGGTACTGGTTTTGGGGCTGCTTCAGCAAGCGGGCAAGTTCTCCAGTCCGGAATCGATGAATAATGATCGACGGTATCTAGACGGTTTTAGCAAGGTAGCACTTAGGAATTCCACATGTTCTGGACCATGTGTGGTTGTGCATCCCCTGGCTGTATCATGTAGCTAGAATGGCCTTCATAGTGAGGGTCCGGGAGGAAGAGCACACAGCTGTGGCCGGTCACTCATAAAAACTAACCTGAAAGGTTTTAAATTAAAAATCTAAGGCTGCACTGCTTTCCTACATCGAATGACGCGATGCTTCATCTAGCTTAGCATCTCTGACACTGAAGGGTAAGAACCACAAAGAGCGGGGAGACTCGTGTTGCTGTCCACCTCCCTTCTTCCCACCGAGGGAGGCTGGAGAAGAGTGGAAGTAGGAAGAGAGCTTCCTCCACCTCCTCTGCCGGCATCGCCTCTAGCCTCTTGCCCAGTTATTCTTCGTTCGTTCATTCACTGCAGATGTCTCTGAGCACCTGCTATGTTTCAGACCCCGTCTTGGGCCCTGGGGATACAAAGCTGAGCAAGATGTCCAGTGTGCAGTTCAGTGTGGCCCGTTTGGAGGGTGAAGCATGAGTTCAGTGACCTGGGCAGAGGGGCACCCTTCCCACCTGCCCACAATCCGTCTCCTTGTTATGTCGGGGAGGCGAGACGGACGGAGGGGAGCCTGTGGGGGGAGGAGAGGGCAGGGTGCCGCTGCGTGGGAAAAGCCAGTCAGATACAGAGACAGGAGGGCGCCAGGCCTACATCAGTTGTGTTACAGGCTTTATTCCAAAGGCAGTGGTGAGACACAGAATTACTCTAAATAGATGATTGCTTTGCTCAAAATTGCATTTTAGAAAGCGCTTTGCTATGAATGCGTAGTCAGTTGTTGAAAACAAGTATCTGCTTTGCTTGTCCCTGGAAGGGTAGTCTCCCAGTAAAAAGGCTGGGAGGGGCAAGAAAGGATTATTTCTTCAGAGTGATTAACCAGCCAGCTGTTTCCTCCCCTGAATTGGGAGTTTCTCCCACTGGTCTCTGTTCTGCTCCACCCAAGGCCCACACTCGGGCCATTACTGCAAATTATGCAATGTCAGTTTGATCCACAAGGGTCTAGCTCTCACTCCCTGTATGGCAGTCTCCAGTATTTCATGCCATGGAGCCTGAGGCAGCCGTTCTGTCTGACTGAATGTCCTATGCTTTGATCCTTCTGCCCAGCCCCTACTTATGATAAGTAGTAACCCAACACTTTCTCTGTGCTTGTTTATTATCCTCAGTGTCAGAGCAGTCCTGATGAGAAATACTATTCTCCCCATTTTGATTGTTTTTTAACTTCTATCAGATCTGCTGCTTCTTGCCTATTCATAACTTCCTTGCAACAGAGGAAAGATCAGTTTTTTTATTTTCAGTTTACTGAGGGAGAAATGGGAATTAATGGCTCTGTGTTATCTTCGATTTTTCTGTGCGCTGAGCGTTGATTTTATGGTATGTATAGAAAGTGTAGTTTACTTTAAGCTGAATGCTGACCTAAAAATAGTCTTATGATATGTTAGCATATGGAAAAGGTTAAAGACTACGCAGGGCATATGTAATTATTTACATTTCTTTCCGCTTTTTCAGTTGAACCTGTTAAAGAATAGGGTGAAAGGTACACAGGTATTGACTGGGATCCTAAGGTTTTCCCTTCAGTCCTCCTGTTTGGGGTCAGGGCTGTCAGCTGTGAACACACAGGGTGAGAGCTGAGATCTTGTCCAGTCCGAGCGGCAGGGAGAAGCTGTGTGCTCTGCCCATCTGAGAAGGACCAGCTGTCGCCAGTGGGCTCCAAACTGGTAGTGACGAGTGGTCGTGAAGTCAGCCTCACCGGGAACCTCTGCGAGAGTCTAGAGTTGAAAAGGACCTCAGGGATCCGTAAAGCCAGGCTCCTCATTTTATAGACAGAGAAACCAGTCCAGAGAAGTAAATTGACCTTTTAAAGGGTGTGTAATGTAATAATGTTAGGGTTAAGACATCTTCATGACAGCCTCAGGAACGTGTAACCTAACTTCTTAGAATCTGCTAGCAGATTCCTGGGAAGAACAGCATTAAAACTACTTCGGGCTAATGTGAAGTTTCACCGTTTGAATGGGCTTTTTACAGAATTTATCGCTGTCACTGTAAAATGTTCAGAGAGCTCTGCAGAGTGTCAGCGGGCACAGGGACCTGTGAGGGTCCCTAATGGGACAGTTCATTGGAATTGGTCTACTTGTTTAATGCTAGGGTCATCAGAAGGGGTTCTAGCTCCTCAAAAGGTAATTCTGTATGAAGATTAGAGATGGGAAGATGATCTTCTAGTAAGTGAATTAGGTTACAGATTTTTATGTCATTAAATAAACCCATTTGTATGGTTAATAGGTGTATATAACTTGCTACAGTTCTTAAAATGCTCTTAGTGTTATAATTAGGAACTATCTGATAATGTCCTCCTCAATTTCTGGTGAAGTTTGGAATGCTTTATAGTCTTTCATATTTCCTATATAATTTGTTTCTGATTTTACTGAGTGTAAAGATTCCTAACCACTTTCTCACTAGTTTGTGCATTGAATGTGCCGATGCCAGATATTCTTACGAGAATAAAAATCACGTTAAATTTTTTTCGGGAAACTGTAACATCTGCCTTTAGCAGTGATGCTTACCGTGAAGAAATTATGGAAATGTTTATATTTTTAATTAACATAAATACTGCTAT